CAAAAAAGGGTGCTTTCAAAATGAACCAATTCACAGTTGAATATGTCTACAAAGGGTGAACTCTGGTAGCATAGTGGTTACGAATTGGGCTGTGAACCACAAGGTCAGCAGTTCGAAACTACCAGCTGTTCTGTGGAAGAAAGATGAGGCTTTCTGCTCCCGTAAATATTTACAGCCTCAGAAACCCTGTAGAGGGTTGCTATGGGTTGGAACTGACTCGATGGCACTTAACAACAACAACACAAAAGGTGTGGTTTCACTGCATAGGGAATTGGCTTCTTGGGGTGTTTTTCAACTTTTGTACTCAGAAACCCTTGGCTATTGACTTTGGAAAAGCCAGAAATGGGAATCCCAAGAAAACTAATTGTGTCACTGAATTAAAAAGACTGACCAGGATTTATTACATCCATCTTTAGAACTCCGTAGGTATAATAAGTTTCATAAGAAGATGTCCTTTAAACCCAACTGATAATAACATACTAAGAGAGACAGAACATGTATCACAGAACCAGGGAACAGGCAACCAAATATTTACCTAAGATTTAGAACTCTACTGAAAAGCAGAGTTTGCTGTTGTTTGTAACTTAATAGATTTTAGTGGGACTTATGCATAGTAATGCACACTATGGTTTTACATACAATTGAGGGACAGAATATGTATTAAATTGCCTTTGTTGTGGTTGTTAAGTGCTGTCGAGTGGATTCCGACCCATAGCGACCCTGTACAGGGTTTCCGAGGCTGTAAATCTTTACGGGAGCAGAAAGTCTCATCTTTCTCCCACAGAACAGCTGGTAGTTTCAAACTGCTGACCTTAAGGTTCGCAGCCCAATTCGTAACCACTATACTAGAGGGCCACCTATCTCCTTTTTCCCCAGCTCCTCAGAAATTACATACAAAGTGATAGTCTTATTGACTCTGTTTTAATGGGAAAAACAAACTCTAAACATCAAAAAAAGGCATATATAACCTAGTGAAGAATTCTGAAATAAACCTTAACATTGTGACTGGCCAAATTTTGTCCCCTACCAAATACAGACCAACAAGACTAAAGTTTCTCGTCCATATGTGAAAATTTGAAAAATGAAGTACGTTTTTAACCTGGTTTTGACTGATGGAGTTACTGGGTGGTATAAATGTTTATGAATCCTGATGTGGCACTGTGGATCATGCACTGGACTACAAGGGCGATTTGAATCGCAAGTTCAGCAGTTCAAGCTCACCAACCACTCCTTGGAAACCTTATACAGGGTCACTATGAGTCAGAACTGACGTGACAGCACTTATAATAACAACATGAATGTTTAATTCAATTAGCTGCTAATCAAAGGTTGATGGATTGAATCTATCCAGAGGCACCTGGAAAAGAAGGCCTGGCGTCTACTGAAAAATTCAGTCATTCAAAGTCTTACAGAGCGTAGTTCAACTTTGACACACCGGGACTCAACATGCGTGGTCAAACTGAATCCATGACAAGTGGCATTTGGTTGACTGAGGTAAACTCTCTTGTGGCTGTTTTGTTTCAGGATGGCAAAAAAGTATTGGGAAGTTGCATTGATCTTCCAGATCATTAGTACATAACTAAAAGTCTGGTTAAATCCCACTTTTAATAAATCCTTTTATATGTTGTTGTTGTTGTTAAGTGCCGTCGAGTCGGTTCGGACCCATAGCGACCCTACGTACAACAGAATGAAACACAGCCTGGTCCTGTGCCATCCTCACAATTGTTATTACGTTTGAGCCCACTGCTACTGCCACTGTGTCAATCTAACTCATTGAAGGTCTTCCTCTTTCTCACTGACCTTTCACTTTACCAAGCATGATGTCCTATTCCAGAGATTGGTCTTTCCTGAGAATGTGTGCAAAGTAAGAGACACAAATTCTTTCCACAATCGTTAACAAGGAGCGATCTAGCTGTACTTCTTCCAACACAGATTGCTTGTTCTTCCGGCAGTCTATGGTATATCCAATATTTTTCGTCAACACCCTAATTCAAATGCATAGATTTCTCTCTGGTCTTCCTTATTCATTGTCCGGTTTTCACATACATCCTCCTATATGTATGTTGTGATGGTTAAGTGCCATAGAGTCTGTTCTAACCCATAGGAACCCTGTATAGGGTTTCTGAGGAGCGGATGGTGAGCATGAACCACTGACCTTGAGGTTCAAACTGAATTTGCAGTCCAGTGCATTAACTCACAACACCACACCAGGACTGCAACACTATGTTGTTGTTATTAAGCGCCGTCAAGTCAGTTCTGACTCATAGCAACCCTGTATAGGGTTTCCAAGAAGTGCCTGGTGTGCTTGAACTGCTGACCTTGCCATTCAAATGACCCTGCAGTCCAGCACATTAAGCTGCAGTGCCACACCAGGAATCCATCCTCTTATATGTTGTTGTTCTGTGCCGTCGAGTCGGTTCCGACCCATAGCGACCCTGTACAGGGTTTCCGAGGCTATAAATTTTTACAGGAGCAGAAAGCCTCATCTTTCTCCCAAGGAGCGGCTGGTAGTTTCAAACTGCTGACCTTAAGGTTCGCAGCCCGATTCGTAACCACTACACTAATATAGCTTGCTCTAAATCTAGCTGGAACTCCTCTTTACCATGGAGGAACTGATTGTCCTTCAGAAATTGCCTTTTTAAGTTCTCTTCTGTTATTATTATTTTTTTTTCATATTTGTTAATTTGCTATCATAAAGGTTGGGATGTCATGCAGGTGAGATCATGGTTAACAACAGCTCAGAACAGTAACACAGGGGGTTGTTGTTGTTGTTTAACGTTGTCATGTTGATTCCGACTCATAGAGATCCTGTATAAGGTTTTCAAGGAGTGGCTAGGAGATCTGAACCACCCACCTTCCAGTTCAAACCGACCTTGTGGTCTAGTGTTTATCCCTACAGTGCCATACAAGGACTCCAATACTGGACTGTTTATCTACTGATTCCAAGGAACGTAATGATGGTTTTATGTTCTTGTTGCTTCAGTATCAGAGTAAGAAGCTCTTTTTATATCACTCCCTCCAGTGCTAGTGATATAAAAAAAGCTTCCACCCTGTTAATGAGGCAATAAGAACATTAAACACATCATTACATCCCTTAGAATCAATAGATGAGATCCAGTCAATTTTCCTATTCAGCAATATGCTGAGAAAAACTAAGGAATTTGAATATGATGCCACACATATTTGCCATAAGCAGAAGACTAGCCATAGCTGCTTTCTAGTTAGAAAACTATTCTATTTGTTCACATTTTTTTTTTTTTTTATTTCCCTATGAAAGGCATGTTTGCAAAACACAAACATTTTGAACCCTGGAAAACAACCCTCAATAAATGTGTGAGTTTGACCTGAAACCACCAACTATCTTCAAGGATGACCTTCAAATTCAGATACAAGAAGAAAAACATAAGATCAACCTCATGGATTAAAAGCAAAGAAGAGTCATTGTGGTACCTATTTACAGTTAAAGATGAAAACAGACATACTAAAAATCAAACACTGTTAACCAAAAACTAAGCATGTAAAAACAACAATATTTCACAAGAGGAATTATTATTACCATTTTTACTTAAGAAATGCAAACTGTTCCATGAAATATTAGCTACAAGGAAATTATATTAATTCAGTATATAAAACCATGACAAATTTGAATTCAGATAGCATAGGTTGAAAATGTATGTATCTTAAAATGAAGGGGCTTCAAAATGTTTATGGGAACTGGAATGAAAAGATAATGGGATTTTCCCATGAAATTTCTGAAGCCTCCATATAGTCTGATATATGCATATTCAGATTGGGCCTGGTTCTCAGTAGAGTATCAATAGAATCTGAGTCTTTTGCTTCAAACCACTGAGCATTTTGAAAAGAACACACAATTCTGAATGTTAAACATAGTAATTTCTAAAATAATGTAAACTTTATTATTTCAATTTCCTAACCTGTAATCAACCAGGGAGTCTGGTTAATAGTGTTCAACATATCTTCATATGAGAAACATTAAAATTAGTAGCAGATTTCAAGAATGGCTAATACTTGGATTTTCATTATCGCTTGGAAATCTATTTTGCTAACCCTGAAAACTATAGGAATCAAAAATTTAAAATAAATGTCCAATCACGGTAGAAGATGTGCAATAAATATTAAAGTAAAAGAGCAGAATTAACCAGAAAATACATTTAGAATTAGCTACAAGAAGTCTATGTGAAGTAAATAGCTGGACAGAATATACAGTGAAATAAAATGAACACTTTTGAGCTTTGTGGGCTTAATAAAAGAATTTATGAAATAGCTACTTTTTAGAGTAGATGTTTTAAACCAGATAGAGAGAAAACTGCAAAGCACCTTTTTCTCAAACAGAAAAAAATCTGTGTGACTCAAAATGGATGGAATGTTCTAAAACTGAGATGCTGTTTAACTTGAAAATATTTAATTTATAGATATTCCATTAATTTAAAGTTAGTATTTAGGAAATAACTGATCTGTTACCATGTAATAAGCATAAAATAATGTTAAAGTGGAGTTCCACTTTATATTGGAAAAATATATATATACATATTCTTTTTTATGGTTTATGAGACTCCTTTTTTGTCAAATTCAGGCAGTTTTTTTATGCAGGGCACCCTCTGCTGGACAGACTCTGCCATTACAACCAGTTGATACCTTGAGAAGCCGTTTGGATGGGTCTCATTTCTGCACAACTGGAATCACCTGGGAGAGAGCATTTTGAAAATGCCTATGCCAGAACCCCATACCAGACTAACTGAAGACAAATGTTTGTACTTCAGGACTGTGCATTTGTCATTTTGAAGATCTCACCAGTTGATGATAAATGCATATGAAATATTACAATAAAGATTTTTACTGTCATTGAGAAAGATACAAGAATTTAATACATGAGAAATGCTCTGAGACTATGCAAGGTATTTTGTGAATCAGGTGGATTTTATTATTATTGAATAAAAATAAAACAAAATTACTGCATAGTATTATTCAATTCAGTTTACCTTGGGCTTTTCTTCCAGAATCAGCTGACGTATCTCCTTGTGTTTCTCTACAAGTTTTTCTTGCCGTTTACTTTGTGCCTCTTCTAACTATATTAGAAAAATACATAAATAAAGGGATAAACAATAATCTTCATTTAAACTTTCAAGTTTGGATTTTCAGAAACAAAAAAATTTTTTTGCAACTTTTTCAGATCTATCATATACATTTAATTATTTTAGACCCCGGTCAAGAACTGTCCATACAAGTATAAATCCACTGGCTCTGAGCGGATTGTGACCGTGGTGACACGATGAACCAGAGTAGAACTGCCCACAGGGTTATAAAGGCTGTGATTTTTAATGAGCAGATTGCCGCACCTTTCTCCCAAGGAGCAACGGATGGATTCGAATTGTCAACCTTTGGTGAGCAGCAAAGCACTTAGGCTTTGTGCCACTAGGACTTCTTCCTTATAAGTTGTTGTGTTGTTGTTAAATGTCATTGAGTTGGTTATGACTCATAGTGACCCTGTATAGGGTTTCTGAGGAGCAGCTGGTGGGATTGAACCGCTGACCTTGCAGTAAGCAGACCAGTAGTTATCCAACAGCGCCTCCACAATACTCCAATTCCCACCACTTTGTTTTTGTTGTTAAGTGCAGTCAAGTCAGTGCCTACTCAAAATGACCCTATATAGGGTATTGGAGGAACAACTGGTGGGTTTGAACTACTAACCTTATAGTTTGCAGTTCAGTGCTTATCCTATAATAGTGCCACATCAGGACTCCAGAATGTATATTGTTGTTGTTAAGTGTTATCGAGTCAGTTCCAACTTGTAGCAACCCTGTATAGGTTTCTGAGGAGCAGCTGGTGGGACTGAACTACCAACCTTGCAGTAAGCCGTCCAGTGTTTATTCTACAGCACCATACCAGCAGTGTGAGAGTATTAATAAGTGCTGAAGCTTAGTTATTAGTACATCGTGGGTGGGAGGGTGGTCAATGGAATATAGGACCCTTCCATTTTTGTAAATGTTTGAAATTCGGCATAATGACAAATTAGAAGAAAATTAAAAAGAATTGCCTTTTGAAGTTGACATCTTCTATCACTGATGACAACAGTGGGAAAATACTTCCACTTGGTATCATGCTTCTGTCTTCCTGACTTCAGAAATTAGTCTTAAGTATCGAGTCGGTTCTGACTCATAGAAACCCTGTAGAGGGTTTCTGAGGTGTGGCTGGTGGGTTTGAACCACTGACCTTGCAGCTCAAACTGACCTTATGGTGGAGTACTTATTCTACAGCGCCACACCAAGACTCCTCCTTTTTATATAGTGGTTTATAATTAAAGTAGTAGAGGCATTTATTGGGGTGTGCCTGCACTCTAAGAAGTTCTACCAAGTGCTGAAGACAGATACACAGACAGGCTTGGTAATATCTTCCAGAAGCTCACAATAACCTTCTCAAGCATTCACTCAAAGTCGGCAAAGGAGAGTGATTAACCAACATACTCTCTTGATGTACTGTACCACCTCCTGGATATATGAGCGGATCATCTCTGTCTTCTCCCTAAGAGCAAACAAGGATGAAATTATGAAAGGAACTCATTCCATTCTACAAGCATGGGAAATCCTAGATTTCATATGTATCAACATTCTTATTGCCGTGGCAAGTAAGATATAACCACTAACTCAGCGGCAAGCCCTGTTGCAGGAAGGTTGCCGAAAACTATAGATGGTGTCTGAAGAGAAGACTGCCTTTCCCAAAGGGAACCTCTTTACTCAGTCTTTCATATGAAGCCCAGAATGACCCTCACTCTCATGAAACTGCCTGCCTTTTGTTTCAGTCACTGTGAAAACCCGTACAAGAGTATCTTTTGAAAGTTAATTAGGGAGTTAGAAGGTTTGTGTCTGTTTAGGAATCTGTGACTCTGATACACAGAATAAAAACAGTCTCCAGGTAAAAAGCAGAGAAGGAGGTCTTTCTTGTGACTTACTCTTCCATCTGGCTTTTGTCTTTCGATTTAGCTTCTGTAATCTTCTCTTGTCTCTTTTTATCCATTTTCTTTTTTAATTCCTTCTTTTCTCTAAAGTCAAAAAGGAAGTACAAGATTAAAAAAAAGAGAGATCGAATGGCAATTTGCATTTTATAAGTTTATACCCACAATTCAGATTGTAATGAGAAGGAAGGCTTACTTCTCACAGATTTCCTTGAGCTTCTTTAACTGATTGTTCTGACACTCTTCAGCCACATCTGTCAACTTCTGAATAAGCTGAGGAAAGAAAACGCCAGTTTGCTTTTTACATTATTCCAAACAAAGCACCTCCCCGCTCCCCTCCTAAGAAAAAAAAAAAAAAAAAATCTGTGGTAAGAAAATCTGTGATTGATGGTTACAAATAGCTGAAGTTGCCAGACATCTAAAGTTGCCAATGAGAACATCATTTAAATTCATCACATTATCTAAGCCTACAAGTTTTAATATTAAATTTCTATTATCTCTTTTCAATTACACAGAATTCATTAGATATTAGGCTGGTTCCTGAAGGTTGGCTCAGTGAAAAACCAATTTACAGTGTGAAGTCAGGCTCCAATCTCCGATCTATGATTTATTCAATGTGTAATTTGGGGGCCCAAACCAAGCACACAGACATCAAGCCGATTTTGACTCACAGAGACCCTGACTGTACAGCATTTCTGAGACTTTATGAGAGCAGTTGTGGTTTTGAACTACCAACCTTGCCAAAGACTTACAGTTTCTGAACCTATTATTGTAAAGGAGATTGTCAGGGTTCGTATCTTTTGGAGCAGAGTCTCTGGGTGGGTGGTGGTTATGTACCGTAGAGTCGATTCTGACCCATAGCAATCCTGTGTAGGGTTTCTGAGGCTGCAAATCTTAATGGGAGCAGAAAGCCTCATCTTTCTCCCACAGAATGGCTGGTTGGTAGTTTGAGATTCCACATGAGAGGTTTCCTGTCCTGCTACATCCCCTTGGCCTTACTGTGTGTGCGTGCTCAGGAAGCATACACAACTAGAAAATGAGTATTTGCTCTTTCCCCTTCTTATAAACAGGTCCCCTCTTGCTGCTGCCAGTCCACACACCATTTTCTAAGCTGTTCTACTCAGCCACAAACGAACGTGTACTTACCAAAATCTTGAGCACTATTCTTGAAACGATGAGAGAAAGATGAGGCTTCCTGTTTCTGTGAAGATTTACCTCAGAAACCCTACACAGGGTCACTGTGAGTTGGAACTGACTCAGTGGTGTACCACCACCACCATTCTAGAAACTCTGAGCTGACATCTTGGCTTTCTAGATTGGCTTCCTATTCAAAGTGTGATCTGTGCACCAGCAAGACCAGCATGATTAGAGAACATGTTAGAAATACAAATGCTCAGCGTCCTCCTGAGATTAAGTGAATCAGAATCTATATTTTAACAAGATTCTTAGGAGATTTATGTGCACATTCAGGTCTGAAAAGCACTGACTTGCAGTGAGGAAGTTGGACACAATCAAGAAGAAGCCTGTACATCTTCCCTCTATTCTGCTCCAAACCTTTATCTGTGTGTGTTCTTCTAAATTCTTTTTTCTCACCTCTGAAATTGGGAAATTTTCACCTCTAAATGGCACATCCCCGTTAGATAGTTTTCCTCTGCATAAAAACACATCACTATCTTAATTATGGAGTCCTGGTGTTGCGCTGTGGGTTAATGCACTGGACTGCAAAGTCATTTGAACTGCAACATTGGCAGTTTCAGCTCACCAGCTGCTCTCAGAAACCCTATACAGGGTTGCTATGGGATGGAACTGACTTGAGGGCACTTAACAACAACAGTCTTAATTATCTTCTTTAAAGCACGAATTCTTGTCTCATCTTAGAAGTCCCTAAAATGGAAAAATAATTTCTGCCTACAATGAATGTCACAATGTCCCACCCCCATATTCTTCAATCCCACCATCTCACCCTGCTCCAGCCACTGATATTTACCTGATTTTGATTTTAGGTTATAAAAACCTTTTTGTTACTAAAATTATTGATATTTCTCAGGACTTAATGTTTATTGTCCAGAGATTCCTAAATTTTCTTGGTATATGGAATCTTTAGGGTCTCAGTAGTTTTAGCATGACAAAAAGAACTACTTAATAGTCCCATTAAGTGCCGCTGAGTTAGTGAGGACTCACAGTGCCGCTGAGTTAGTGAGGACTCACAGTGACTCTTTGTACAACAGAACGCACCATCCTCACAAATGCTGCTACACTTGAGCGAGTTGTTGCTGTCACTGTGCCAATTATGCTCATTGTGGGGTTGTCTCCCTTTTTGTACGCTGATCCTCCAGTTTACTAAGCATGATGTCCTTCTCCAGGGACAGGCCCCTTCTGATAATATGTCCAAAGTATGGCAGAAAAAGTCTGGCCACGTTGGCTCCTAAGGAGCATTCTGGTTGTATTTCTTTCAACACATTTATTCTTTCTTCCAGCAGTCAATGGTACCTTTAATATTCTTCTCCAACACACACATAACTCAATGCATCAGTTCTTCTATGGTCTTCCTTATTCATTGTCCAACTTTCACACACAAACAAAGCTACTGAAAATACCATTTGGTCAGGTGCACCTTAGTCCTCAAACTGATATCTTTGCTCTTGTACACTTTAAAAAAGCCTTGTGCAGCAGATTTGCCTAATGTCGTAAGTCATTTGATTTCTTTACTGCTGCTTCCACGAGTGTGGACAGTGGATCCAAGCACAATGAAGTCTTTGACAACTGCAATCTCTTCTCCACTTATGTTATTTTATGTTATTTAATGGTATAGTTGTGAGAATTTTTGTTTTCTTTTCACTGAGATACAACCCATACTGAAGACTGTGCTCTTTGATCTTCATCAGTAAGTATTTTAAGTCCTCTTCACTTTCAGCAAGCAAGAGTGGATCATGTGCCTATCACAGGTTGTTAATGAGTCTTCCTCCAATCCTGATACCACGTTTTTCTTCATATAATCCAGCTTCTTGGATTATTTTCTCAGTATGATGAAAGAAGACAACGCTGCCTTATACCTTCCCGGATTTTAAACTGTTCAGTATCCCCTTGTTGTAAGTATTTGTTAAATACTTATAGCTAAACAACACTAGTAGTTCATAGACTGTCTAATGAATGTCACTCTGTTTCCCTCAAAAAATGTAGAATATCCCACAATGCCCCTTTGAATTTAATGGTTTGTCCTATGGAGTCCTGGTGTGGTGTAGTAGGGTAAGCATTGGTCAGCAGTTCAAACTCTATACAGGGTTGCTATGAGTTAGTACTTAACAACAACAATGGTGCCAGGACACACAGTTTAGGAATCACAGCTTTATCCTCTTGGTAGAGTGTTGGTTTTCTATCCACACTCAGCACCAAACTTTTCTTCCTTAATTTACAGTGTCTCCAGCAAGTACCACCTTAACTAATTTTCTGACCCTTTTAGTGACTTCAATTCATTTAAAAATCTTCAATATTGTATGCTAATCAACTCTAGTTGGGGATGAGTCTAGTAAGACTTTACCCAAGTTTTCTCTGATGTCTCACTGGAGAAAGAAATAAAACTCAAAGTGAATAATGCTAAGATACAGAGACAAACAGGAGAAAGAGAGAGGGAGAGGGGATAGGAAGATGGAGATGGAGACATAGACTTAGTAAGTGCCACAGACTGATTTTTTCCCCCTGGAATCCATCCCAATTTCTTCCCTTCCCATGGTTTCGATGGTCAATCCTATCTTAAGTGATATACCCTGTGTGTTTTTCTTGCTTAAGCTAGTTCAAAATTGGTTTCTGTCTCTTACAATAAAGAAAGGTGAATCAATCAATCAATCAATCAATAAAAAGAAAAATTTTCTCTGCTTAACTCAAAAATAAGAGTTTTGGGATAAGGATTTCTACTGCATTAGATATGACAATAGGACAAAGATGAATGATTTGTTTCCACATAATAGTTAAAGTGAACTGACTCCATAGCACTTAACAACAAACAATAGTTCAAGTTCTTCTTAACTTAAAAGTACACTGGTGTGCTGATTATCATACAAGCTCTATTCAAAGTGGGATTCAATCATGTTATTTATTAACCACAAAACTCACTGAAAGCTAGCGTAGAAGATTAGTTTACAATTCTTAAGAAATAAACCAAAAGTATATATTGTAAATTGAACTGCAGTCAACAAAACTTAACTTTTAGTGTGAATTTTCTTCAGGCCCCAAAGAATAGACACATATAAATTATTCTGTTTGTTTACCACTTGTGCCAACTCCTTGAGCTAAATATGTTCCAACCCTTTTGTGGAGTGAAAATTAAAAAAAAAATTGGCAGTATAAGTCCACGTTTGTTCATAATTTCTTCTAAATTTCACTTGGTTCCATTATTTGAGGGTGAGAAAAATGGTTTCTGTGGAAGAGAATTCCTTAAGTCTAACTAAAAAGGAACCAAAACTATGTGGAAGTCTCGTAAGAAACATAATTTTGGAAATTGCAAAAGTCAAGTATAGAATGTTCACATTTTAGGCATAACTCATTTATTTATTATCCCTTTATTAATATATTGAGAATTTACTTTCTCCTTTTTTGCTTGTGAAAGTGTCCACTCTGAGTTTTCACTATAAACTGTTTCTCTCCTACAACGAATTTATATGCTCTTGAACTGAGTAGTGATCTGCAAGCCAAACACATTACTGATAATTTCAAAGCAAGGTAGATATTTACACTAGGGTGAATCCTGGCCATCCATATTGAGAAATATTCATCCATTCATTCAACTAATATGAAAGCCTTCAAAAAGTTCATGGAAAATGGAAACAAAAGATAGTAGAATTTTTCCATGAACTTTTTGAAGCCCCCACATATTTACTACCAGCCGTTCCGCGGGAGAAAGATGAGACTTTCTGCTCCCGTAAAGATTTACAGCCTCGGAAACCTTGTACAGGGTCGCTATGAGTCGGAACCGACTCCACGGCACATAACAACAACATATTTACTGAGCACATATGATGTACTAGAAGTTACTGTTGTTGTTAAGTGTTTTCAAGTCAGTTCCAACCCATAAAGACCCTGTATACGGTTTCCGAGGAGCAGCTGGTGAGTTTGAATTGCCGACCTTGCAGTTCAAATGGCTTTAACGTCTGGCGCATTAACCCACAGGATACTATGCTAGATCCTAAATTGCTAGATCCTACACTGCTAGATACTACGCTGATATTGACTATTCAACTGTGAGCAGACGCAGAGGGTTGATATCTCCCACTGAAAAG